ATTTATTCAGCACTTTCTTTTTTTTATTTTTAGCAAACATTTTCAATAAACACCTCTCTGTAAACAATGTCTGATGCTAAATACAGGAAGTAAAAAAGATCAATTAAGGTATAATATTATTAAGTGTGCCTGGGTGGCTCAGTAGGTTAAGTGTCCAACTTCGGCTCAGGTCATGATTTCGCAGTTCATGGGTTCAAGCCCCATGTCAGGCTCTGTGCTGACAGTTCAGAGTTCAGAGCCTGGAGCCTGCTTCAAACTCTGTGTCTCCCTCTCTCTCTTTCCCTACCCTGCTCGCACTCTTTTTCACTCTCTCTCTCAAAAACAAACATAAAAATATTTTTTAAAGAAATAATTATTAAAAAATGTAAAATTTCTCTGGAGTGGTATCTACTATGAGTGAAGTCAAATGAAAAACAACAAAGTAAAAAAAAAAATATTTGAGACATATAGGCATGGATAAAGGTTAATTTTTGTGATATACAAAATGTCTTTATAAATCAATAAGGAAAAGCTATGGAACGCAATAAAAAGGGCAATAATTTAAACAGGCAACTCACAAAAAAAAGAACTGTAAATAATTAATATTTTAAAATATGGTATCCTTAATCTCACTTATAATGAAAGAACTAAAAATATAGCAAAGACCCTGTTACCCTCCATTAAATCAGTAAAAATATTATTCAGTTTTCCCCTTCCCAAGGTTGGCAAAAGAGAAGGAAATAGACACTCTCGTACCTTATGGGTAAAATAATAAAATGCTACAGCAACTATAGGAAATTAGCCTCTTGTCTGCGCACTGTGGGAAGTAAGTAAATATTGGATGATAAAAAAATGTAAGTTGATTCTCACAGATGCCATCCTCATATGCATAATTTGATATACTCTTTTAGATACTAACCAAATTAACTCTTAACAGCCGGATTACCTTCTGACTTTCAAGATTCAGTGCTTCAGCCAAAGCCAAAATTGGAAACTCCAATCTTGGTGTCATACCTTGAATGGGTTCCAGTAAAGTCTTGCAGAGATCACAGCCTTGTGGATTATCAAGAATGTGAAGGACACTCCCTCCACTTCCCCCAGGCAGCAGGAGCGAGAAGGTAGACTACTAATAGAACTGACCTGCCAACAGAATCAGTTTCTGCAGTAGTGGCAGCAGCCCGATGCCCAATATCTCAAGCCAAATGTGATCTTGCCTCATCCAGTTTGAGTGGACTGGAGGGAGTCATGCAGGTAATAATTGGCAAAGCCTGAACTAGGATAGGAGCACAAGCCATACCTAACAGAAGATGGACTGGTGTGATCTCAAGGATTTGGTCACAGTATGCATGTGAGCATAAGTGTCACAAGGCATATAAATGACTCCCAAATTCTTGGATTACAAAAATGCAAGATGGTGGTGCCATTAACCTATAAAATGAATGGAAGGAATCATTGCTTAGAAGTTTGCCTCTTAAGCCAGAACTCATGAATTGGACTCCAAATTCTATTGGATACCAGAGATGTGGCCCTAACCAAATTACTTACTTTCTCTTTGTCTTGATTTCCTCAATTCTAAAATATGAAGAATAATAATAATATCTACTTCATAGAATTGTTATGAGGCTTAAATAAGTTAATATCTTAGTGCTTAGAATAGAATGCTTAGAACAGTGCCAAGCACATAGAAAGTTTTATATAATTGTTAGATTATCAATAGTATTAGCTTAAGGATTTAAAATACTTATCTTTGTTGAAAACATATCATAGTGATGTGTCTAGATTTATCCTAAAGACCACAGACCATGGACATGATGATAGAAGCTGCTGACACACTCAAGAGGCTATGGCTCAGCTGGAATTCATCCTCACTCCATCAAGGTAATGAAAAGAGCATGACAATGTGAACACACCTCTTGTGAAAAAAGCTCTCTATCTCCATGATCTATGATATCTCTTATAGGCAGGGAGCATCACTACTTCTCTAAATGACTCTGTTTCAGACAAATGGTACACTTAGGATGCCCTAAATATCCTATGAATATTACCAACCCCATGTCTATCTCTTTATCATTTATACCCTGCAATCTTACTCAAACTCTCCCTTCTTTACTATTTTATGGCAAAATGCTCTCCCTTGCTTAACCTTATAACAGTAAGAAATTTTATATTATTTCATCCAGCCATTCTTATATGTATTTATTGTTGTTTCATGCACTATTCTTTCCTAAGTGATTAAAAAAAATCAGGGATTAGGCAGGAGGGATAAACCATCTTTACTACTTTGCTACACTTGTGTCAGTTTCCTACAGTATAATATACAGTACATATTACATAAACACATCATTATTCGTTGAACAATAGTTGTAGTTTCCCTTGATAGAAAGGAGAATGACAAAGTCACAAGGTAGGTTGAGATTTAGTTGAAGATTCCAGAATTAAAACAAATGTCTTTAGAAACAACTTCTAAAGAGTTTGCCCTTGGGGCGCCTGGGTGGCTCAGTTGGTTGAGCGTCCATCCGACTTCGGCTCAGGTCATGATCTCGCAGTTTGTGGGTTTGAGCCCCACATCAGGCTCTGTGTTGACAGCTCAGAACCCGGAGCCTGTTTTCAGATTCTGTGTCTCCCTCTCTCTCTGACCCTCCTCTGCTCATGCTGTCTCTGTCACTCTCGCAAAAATAAATAAAACATTAAAAAATTAAAAATAAAATAAAGGGTTTGCGCTTTATTCAGTGAAAGTTAGCTCTTAATGTGACTCAGTTACAAACCGTAAGGTCATTTCTTTCTCATATACTTCACTTCCAAGTTCATGGATTTCCTCTCCATCCTGCCCTTAGTCATCACACTCACGAACTTCAACATCTATATTGACCACTCCCCAAACACTTGGCCTCATCATAAGTACCTTTACCTACTTAGCCCTAAAAGTCTTCACTTATTCTTCATTTTATTGCTAATATATTTTATTATATCAACTCCCTTAGTTAATCCAAGAATAACCTAGTAGTTGTCATACAGTAATGGTTAAGTATATAGAATCTAGCCGAACCTGCTGACACCTCTATTTGGGAACTTACTACCTATATAATACCAAACAAGTTTTAGGTAACTGTCGAGAAACAATTCTCTAATGCAATCTTCTGCAATTTTACATCAGATTTTGCTCTGCACTGTCTCTTCAAGGATGTTAATAGAGCAAATAGCCTTGCAAGACACAAAAAGTATCTCCCTCTGATGTGGAAAGCAGATCTGATTTGTCTCCTGACCAAGATAATGTCTCCTTCCAGAGAAATGTTGGGCGGATTTGCTAGCAGTCTCATATAATATTGGGGGTTTCCTAAGCTTCTTGTTCCTCTGTAGTGACCCAAACCCACTCTGTGCAGCATTCACCAGGGCCACCCCAATGGCCCTTGAGGGGAAAAGAAACATGAAGCTCATATCACTTTCTATACCATGAGTAATGAAGCCATTTGTCTGTCTCTTACCCAGGAGTCTTTTGTCGTCTGCTAGCATTTATGAACAGGTGGCTGGCTAATTTGTTAGCTTTCAAGAAAGGTAAGATCTCAGATTTTCCACAGTTCTTGATAATAATCTCTTTATGCTTCAGTTTCCTTTTACTCAGCTATAAAATGGAGAAAAGATGCCTATCTCATAGAGTTAGTGTGTAAATTATATGGAATAATGAGATAATGTCTATACAATGCTTAAAACCAGTCTGAGCCTCATAGCTGGACTCAATAACCGTTTTTGGTGACTTGACTGTCTCCTTGCCAAATGGCCTGGTCTCCAGCTCAGTTCTCACTGGTAGCTTTGCAGAACTGACACCATATATCATCCTCTTCTTAGAAGTTCCTAAGCCCTAGACTGTGACTCTGCACTAAATTGGTTTCCTTCTTACAATTTTATCTCTTTCTAGCTCCTTCCCAAAATCACACACACACACACACACACACACACACACACACACACGGAATTAACAAAAGGACAAAAGGAGAGGGGCACTTGGGTGGCTCAGTTGGTTAAGCATCTGACTTTGGCTCAGGTCATGATCTCACAGTTCATGGATTCGAGCCCCACTTTGGGCTCTGTGCTGACAGCTTGGAGCCTGGAGCCTGCTTAAAGATTCTGTGTCTCCCTCTTTCTCTGGCCCTCCCCCACTTGCGTTCTATCTCTCTCTCTCAAAAATGAATAAAAATATTTTTTAAAAATTAAAAAATAAAAACAAAAGGAGAATGTTTTGAAAATGTCCTAAGACAGTCCTAAATTTCCACAAAATACTACTTAACAATGCAGTAACAGTAGTCACCCAGTTTTTCTAAAATGGAGGAAGGGAAAAGCAGAAATCAGAATGAAGAGATCAAGAGTAATAAGATCCTTAGCAAAAGGAGATAAGAGTTATAAGAAACCTGTACCATTCTGAGTCATTCAGTTATGTAGATGGTCAATATTTATTATTCTCCAATGTCCAATCTTAATTAAATACTTGCAAAAAAAAAAGTACTGGAAAGAAAACAAGAGAAATGGTGGCTATAAGCTACATGACCAAGTGACCAGTGAAACACAATGTGGAATGATGGAACTACAGTGTAGAAAGAAGACAAATTTTTACTATCAACAGATCCCAGGGAACCCCAGCTCCAGCTTTTAGTAGTTGTAAGAACATGGGTGAGTTCCTTAACCTTATCAAACATCAGTTTATCCGCTTCACAAATAGGGGAAGACCATTCACCTTGAAGAGTTGCCCATGGGTTTCCTCAATAAACTGGAAACTAAATGATTATTGCAGAACTGAAGAACTGAAGAATTACTCCTTTGGAAACTAATAAAAAAGCTAAGGGGCATTTCTGAATATTTCCCAAAGGAATATAAAATTTTGTAATGTGGTATATACTTGCCAAATATAGCCCTGTAGAACTTAAACTCTGGCTTCATGAAAGCTCAAGGTACAGAAAATTTCTTAGTGTCAGACTTATATAACTCAGTATCAGTCTTAGGTAACCACTTGCATGATTTGATAAACTTACCTGTAACAGAAAATCAAAGAGTGCCAGCTTGGACCACTCATGGTGATGTATTTCAGTACAACCCCATTCAGGTTTGGGTACCCGGCCATTCTGCCAGCACTTCTGTTTCAATGACTGTTGGTAAGCTCCCCAGGTGAGCTTAACAGAAGAGTGAGTCTCATTACTTGTTGGAGATAAAGATGAGTCCCAGAGAATGACAGGGCATGGGCGGCCATCTACAGAATCCAAAAACAAACACACTTTAGCATGATATTAATTCACTATGTGCCTTCAATCACTCATAGCTTCAATCTCTCACCTACCAAAATCAGGAGTTTGATTAGATGATATTTCATGGCCTTTGGTGGATGATGAAAGGAAAGATTTTTGAAACAAGACCATTTATAGATGTGGCCCAGGAATAAGCCACTAATCACCAATAACAACGTCCTCTGGTTAATGTGGTTTTATTCCACATCTAAAAGCAGCTACCACGAAAAAGGAAAGAATCCTGGCATTTATAATTGTCTGTTCAATGTCTGAGTGGAGCTGCTATTTGTCTGATTTTCTGAGGCCACAGAAAAAGAATTTTTAGAAGTCACAAATTTAAAAGTGAAATTGTTTGGTTCACATCAATCACTATACTCTCCAAAGACACAAAAAAGGAGCAAGATGGAAACTTTTCTCTTTTCTGATGGAAACAGCACTCTTCATAATTGATGTTTATTCACACATAACCTCACAAAGTGCATTTAAGCAAATGTCATTTCTTCAACTGCATGTGCATAGATGATATTTTCAAAGAATACCTGTCACCCTAATTGCTTTTGCCTCACTCTTGATAGTTTAGAAATTTCACTGTTAAACTGTATAAATAATGATGAGCCTGAGTGAAGTCATCATAAACAGAAAAGACCACAAGGCTCCATTAAATGACACTTCAAGCTTAAAACCAATAACATCACTTTTAAGCCCCCATTTCTGCCAAATAAAGTCACTGAGAGATGATGTTAAGTGTCTTTGCTTACAACTTAAAAATCAGAATGATGCTCTTGGGGGGAAAAATAAGACATAAAGATCTGGAAAAGCTCACTTAACTCATTGTTAACAGGCCTGGACAAGAGAAGCCTCTGAAATTATGACTGGAATGTCTAAGATACATCACAGGAATTTTTAAAAAGCCCTTTCACATAACCTGAGAGATACTCAATCTATAACTGTATTCCTTTTTGTTAAAGGCACTTATTTTACCATCTTGCTCATTTGCCTTCTTGCAGAGTTCTTGTGTCTATTTGACATAAGAGTAGAGTTCTTTGTCTCTTAGTTAAGTTTGCTATTACAGTGACTTCAGTAATGCTAGTAGCATTCACTTAATCATTCTGATAAACCTGCATTCCAATCTTGTTCAAAAAAGACATCTTCCTCTATTTAACCTTACCACTTAGACCTGGGTATGCATGAAGTCCTTTAGATTTTGGAAATTGTGTCACAGTCATTGACACACAATTTTTAAAAAGTAGAGAAAGAACAAAGATCCATGCTAAAGAACTTCATTGGCAACATCGATCTCCCCTTTCTATTTCCTTCAACTTTTCTAAATGATTTGGGGGCTGCTGGGACCCAACCGTCTTCTTAGATAGAAAATAAATACAATTTTCAATGAGTGCACTCCAAATACTACACCAGTGTGAAAAATCATAATAATAAATCCCACGTAAGAGCAGTCCATCGTGCAGTGGGAGACATGTAGAGACCAGTGTAATCAAATATGAGTAGAAGACATAACATGGCTTTCAAAGATGCATGTACTTCAGACTTCTAAAGATAAACACCAAGAAGTTCTAGCCATCAGTGTCTTTAGACTAAAGTTATACACAGATAGCACTTTAGATTTTCAGGGCTAGGAAGTGCTCAAAGGGAGTTGAAACCTAATACTGAGGCTCAACAACACAAACCAATACAGGAGACAGACAGGCCAGGAGTTTCCTCAGCAAGTCACAGGAGGCCCGCAGAGAAACATGGAAATTATCTACATAAACAATTGGAACAGTTAACCTTCCGGGCTGTTTTCCTTTCCCTTAGATACATTTGTTTCTTATTTTTAAAGCAATTAAAAGCAAATCTACTCATTTTAGAAAATGGGGGAAAACATTAAAATATAAGGCTAAGAAAACAAAAATCATCTATAATCTTCTGTCCCAGTAATTGGTTCTATTATTTATATACTGACCTCTGGGTATTTTCTCCATCTCTTTCTTTCTCACCTAAAAAATGGAAATTGTTTTTAGAAATTTAAGAAGTATAGCTTATGATTAGAGCCTAGACTCTGGAACCAAACAGATCTTTTGAATTCCGGTCACATTACTTCTTAACTTTGTAACATTAGACAAGTTAAGCAATCTCTCAAACCTTGCTTTCATCCTCTGTAAAATTGGGGGGGGGGGAGGGCATAACACACCTTCTAAAACTGCCTTTTAGGATTAAATGGACTCATGCATTTAAAGCCTCAACCTGATGCCTAACATATATGCACATCCCAGAAAACTTTCACTGTAACTATTATTACACGTATACATTATGGAATCGCACAATTCATCAGTCTTTGACTGACTTTATTTGTTTTTTGAGTATCTACTGTATGCCACGCATTGTTCTAGAAACTGCAAATAAACTAATTAATTAATAAATGCCAGTTTCTATTTATTTTCTTGGAGTTTCCATTTCCACCAGGGGAAAGACGCAAGCAGGCAAAGAAAGTAAACATTTGGGACTGTCTTGTATATACAGTGCATTACAATCGTTTTACTAAATATTTTGCCAAAAGTATTTCTCTTATAATTAAATATTTTTAACTAGGATCACTCTAACTGTCATATAATACTCTAGCCCAGTGGTCAGAAAACTGTCAAAAGTAGATAGAAAAATATTTTAGGCTTTGACAGCCATCCAGTCTTCATCACAACTATTCCCCCAGAAAGTGGTCAACTCTGCTACAGCACAAAAGCAGTCAGAAACAATATGTCAACAAGTAGACTGACTGTGTTCCAATAAAACTTTATTACTGACTGGAGGAACAAGGGGGAGAAAAAGGGGGGAAATGGTGGGGGAAAGGGAGAGAGGCAAACCATGAGAGACTCTTGAATACTGACAAAGGACTGATGGATGTGTGGGGGAGGAGGGATGGGCATGGAGGAGGGCACTTGTGGGGATGAGCATTGAGTGTTATGTGGAAACTAATTTGACAATAAACTATTTGTAAAAAAAAAAAAAAAACAACACTTTATTACTGACATTGAAATTTGCATTTCATATAATTTTCTAATGTCATAGAAACATTATTCTTTAGATTTTTTTTCAACCATTTAAAATTGGAGAAAGCATTTGTAGCTCACAGGCCATTCAAAACAGGCAAGGGACCAGCTTTGGCTCATAGACTGTAGTGTATCAGCCCCTGTTCTACTCTATGAGCATAGTCTATTTCATTTACCATTTCTCTACTTTAGCACATTGAATTTTTTGAGTGATACATTTTCTAAACTATTGTTTTTAAAGCTGTTCTCAAACTGCCAAAGGGAGCTTTCAGCTGGATAGGAATAATTCACTTTCAATTAGTATTCTGGGTTTTTCTCCACATCCATTCACATCCCCTCAGCAAAATATTTTGAGTACTGACTATAGCATAAAAATGTTCCGTCCTGCTCTGCTGGAAATCCATGCACCTCACACAACAAGGATTTCTAGAAAGCCAGAAGAAAGTAGGGTGAGTAGTAACTCTCAGTTTGAGCCTGGGTGGGTGGGTCCCATCCACACACTGATCTTGCTTGAGTCTCCGTGTTTATGGCCCTTGAGATGACAGTAGTTGGTATGGCTCCAGATCTCAGGGCTATGAGTACTACTGTGAAAAGAATTCTACTTTTTATAAAATATGGCTGTTAAAAGAATTAAATGAACTTTGATAGACCTGAAGGGATGACAGAAAAATAGCCTCTGAAAACAAGAAACTGGTTAAAGCCACTTACCCTGAAGTGTTTCAGAGATGAGGAGCATTCATCTCTTCACATTCAGGTTTGTCAGAATGATGCAGTACTGTACTCTCTAGAGAAATCTTAACAGTGAAGAGATAAAATTTTAACTGTCAGAGTGGTGAGAAAGCAGGTTTGAAAAGATATGTGGGTGTTCATGTGAATTAAAGGTTATAAAGCTGCCTTAAAAAATGAGACTTGCCAGAAAACTTATTTTTCCCAAAAATCTGAATATCTCCCCTACTTTTGGTGTTTTCCCAAGTCATACTTTATTCAAAAGACAAAGAAGACATTCTTTTGAGAAGATGAATGTGAAAATTCACCAAGAATGTGCTATAAACAATCTCCTTTGCCTGGATTTATGAAATGCCCTTCACTTGGAACATTAGCTGCCTGGTTTTATTGAACTATAGGTGAAAGCTAAGTATGCTGGGCGAAGATATGAGTGTCTGTCTGCATTTCTCCCTGAGCAAAAATTAGTAAGAATGTTTTGAGCTCTGAAATCAAAAAATCCTCTCTATCCCCTGGGCCAAGTTCCAAGACTGTTCTAAGACTCCCCTTGAACAAGACAAAAAGGAAAGTGGCAGTTCAGTTCAGGGCCCTTCGTTCAAAATGACTCTACAAAGCCTATTAAAGAAAACAAAGGCCAATCAAAACTTGAGACTCATCTTTGTTATACGAAATGAATTTTTCTGGGTTCTACCACAAGTATCAACAAGGCATCGAAGGAAAACCTTAATGCCTTGGATCTCTAATTGCTAAAGGCAATTGTTGGTGATGATGTAACTCCAATGATGGTGTAGTAGATGTCTAGTTGCTAAAGATCCCCAGATCCTACTGTCTGGTCTATTTTTCTACAGTGCCTATCCCAGGAGGGTTTTGGCAATTAAAAATATTAGACTGAAGGAAAAAGTCAGGTAAGATCTCTTGGCTTAGATTTGGTCAATGTGAACAAGTCAGTGAATGTGAGGGCTCGTAAAACGGGATCGCAAGATTCCAGGACAGCCTTGAGGGAGGAGGAAATTTGAAGGATTCGATGCAATTTTACTTCTGCTCAGCGTTTTAAATATTGTTAATTTACTTATTCAAAATACAAATGTTTACAATGGTCCCTCAATTGTCCTCAAGTGGACCTATTAGTTTCCGGGTTTCAGACAGAAAGAATTCAGTGAGGCATAGCAAACATGGAGGACTTACCAGATCCCCAGGCCAGG